TATTTTCAATGACTACTTATTTTTGTCCAGCTTTAACATCAGTATCGATATCGGTTATCGGCTACATGAGTTTTAAAATATCGGCATATCTGATATCGCCAAAATCCCAATATCGTGCATCCCTAGTGTTAATAGAAAGTTAAGAACTTTCTGCTTTAGATGTTTTTTATTGAAACTTGCTAAAAGTCTATTTAAGCTTAGAGCTCTAAACAACGATTAGCTGATTTGTTTTATTTCCAATAATTTCAACTAAAATAAAATCAAATATTTGAAATCATCTCAAAGGTGCAGATCTGATGCATGCTTTTTATCCACTTAATCTTATAAGAGATCTTTATTCATCATGGTATTTATTGCACATGACCTTAATAAGGAAGTCACATTTGCTGCATTATTGCTAATTAGGCTAATAACGAACCTGCTGTTTGCTTTTTTTTTTTTTTATCTCATAAAACCTTCCAGTATTTGCTCCTTCTATTTTCAGAGTTTAATAATGAACCAGCTTTTGCCTTGTGTATAATCTAGGCTTATGGATTCTGCTTATTTCTCTTCCTGTTTGTCAGCGTGGGCCCGCTCCACAGTGACCGGCTCTACGACATCAGCGCCAGTAAGGAAGGCTTTGTCCTAAGTCCTGTGGAGGGAACCCCTGGAGACTTCAAGGCATTTGCTCTAGCTGGTGTCACCTTCAAGGTACATGTGACCATCATCTGCATACATGCTGAAACGGCAAGACCGGCATCCCCTGACTCTTTTTACACCTGCCGTATTTTCGGTTGTGGCGATATTGTATCGATTTGTTTCGATGATGATACAACCTTTACCAACATCTCAATATCTGTCCTGATTATATATTTTTTATTTGATTCAATTTACAAATCTGTGATTGATACGATACAATGTGATCTGCACAACACAATGATTCATATTTATGTCACATCTCAGGTATTTAAATTATAAACAGCGTTCTTCTTAAAAAAGCTTCTTAAAAACTTGTAGCCAGAGGCTAAATGTTACTAGGGGGACTAGACTGGAAAGCAACTTGCAGCACTGCACTGTCACAAAATTATACAGCCTTCCTCTTTTTTAGAATCTGATAACAGACAGCATTGAACCAGTTATGGAGTTTGTTATAAAGACAAGGATAGGTGTATTCTGACATTTAGCCCTTTACTTATCCTACTAGCTTTAAGTAAATGAGAAATATTAGAACAAGAAGCTTCTGTTAGTGTTTTTTTTTTTCGCTGAAAGATTAAATTAAAAGAAAATCCCTCACATTTGGTTTGAAACCTTTTTTTTTCGCTGGATACTAGGAACCTTTGTTCTGCCTGTCCTGTTAGTGAGAACCCTGCAGAAGTTAGTATTGGTCTCCCTTCCTGACTCACTGATAAATTGCTTTGCCGTCAGTTCCACCCCATTTGCAAACAGTCTTGTGCCTTTGTTTAACCTTCCCATGTACATCTCCTCCTAAATGCAACATATGTCACCCAAAATTCAACAGCCAGCCTTATTACATCCACAGCAACCTCAATTTGTCTCCTAGGATCTTTTTTTTTTTCTTTTGTACAAAAAAAAAAAAGAACTAGATTTTTGAAATTACTTTCTGTTTTTCCTGTAGATACTATCAGATGACGGTCAGCCGCTGTCTGGTGTGCTTCTCTCTCTGAGTGGAGGACATTTCCGTTCCAACCTTTTGACTCAGGACACCGGTCTTCTCACCTTTAATAATCTGGTGAGGAAGAAGCTCAGAAAAAAACATTCAATCATTTTTTTCCAGCTTCAAATAACCTTTCTTTTCTCTTCAGAGTCCAGGTCAGTACTACTTCAAGCCAATGATGAAGGAGTTCCGCTTTGAGCCGGCGTCTCAAATGATCACAGTGGAGGAGGGTCAAAACCTGAGCATCGATATAACGGGCGTCAAGACTGCTTACAGGTAACCACACTTAATGTATGCAGAGCATTGAAGAAATATCCACTTGCACCAGTTATTCAGTGTTTTTTGCTGCTCTTCTGTAAAAGACTCAGATGTATTTTAGAGACAATGATCATAAAGCATTATGAAGACCAAGCAGATAAATCAGAAAGGAACCTATGGAGGAGTTTAAATCAGGGTTAGGTTCTAAACCTGCAATATCTACCAAGACGTGACTGTTTACCTCAGATGACAGGCTGGGAAAGGAAGGCATCAATCAGAGAAGCAGCCAAAATGTCCATGGTAACTCTGGAGGAGCTGCAGAGATACATAGCTATGGTTTGAAAATCTCTGGAAAGGAAAACCTTTTAGTTGTTTTCTCCCATAATCTGTGTGTCATGAAAGATGGACAAAAAGCAGGTGGTTGTTAAAGAGACCAACCAACATAAGGCAGAATTTCTAAAGGTTCCTACACAGCGAGCACATGAAAGCGTTTTTTTGGTCAGTGGAGACCAAAATTGAGCTTTTTTGGTCTGCAGGCCACACAGAAATATTGACTCTGCACATTCCCTCCATGAAACACAGCATTATTGTGTGAGCTTTTTTTTTTTTTATTAAAAATTTTCCTTTTTTTTTAATACTTTAATCATCCCAGAGGGAAATTACTTCTCTGCATTTAACCCATCCTCTTGGGGAGCAGTGGGCTGCCATTGTGCAGCGCCCGGGGAGCAGTGTGGGGTTAATGTTCTCGCTTAGGGACCCAGAGTGGCAGTCTGTGGAGGCCGGGTAGCTGGTCAGAGTTAATAGGAAGATGAATAGGGCTAAAAACAGGGCAGTCACTGGAAAAAAAACAACAACCAAAAAGGTGAACCTTCCAGTTGGATCGCGACCCTAAATGTACAGTAAGAGCTAGGACTGAACGGGTTTGGTGTAGTCATAGTCCTAATTGAAGTCCAGTTAAGATTCTGTGTTCACACATGCGCTTCATACAGTCTGACTGCAACTGAGCTGGTTTGCCGTAAAGGGAGGCCATTTTCTGCATCATGTAAACGTGGTAGAAAAAAAATAAAATAAAAATATCCCTAAAGACCTGCAGCTGTCTTCAGTAGGAGTTTTATCTCAAACCTAGAACAAATGCAAACCACAAACAGATTTTTTATTTGTAAAACTAATTTAAACCAGTTGGGTTTTAATATTTTTTTCTATTCCGCTTTACCATTTTTTTTTTTTTTCTGCTAATTTTCTGATGGCAACTAGGGCTGAAACAATTAATCGGATTAAACGTGATTAATCGATTATTGAAATAACCATCAACCAATTTAGTAATCGATTAATCGTTTACTGGAGTAAAGAGACTTCTAAACATGCTTTTAGCTGACAGAGCGACCCACTTAGATCAGTAATTATATCAAAATAGTAAAAAAAAAATATATATAAATATAAACATTTTGCATTTAATATATAAAAATCCTTTTCATCTCTCAATTTGTTTAATTCTGTAAAACATCTTCTTTAAGAAACCTTTCCCAATCCGATTATTAAATAAAAAAAAATAACTGACTGATTAATCGATTAACAAAACAATGGTTAGTTGCAGCTCTAGTTACAACCTATCATGTGGTAGAAATACTTGTATATGACTCTGTGCTTCCCGGCCTTTTTAGAAAGCTTTCCACCTGCTTGATGTTCATGTTTATTATTGTTTTGTTGGCAGCTGCTACGGAGCGGTGCAGTCCCTGAGCGGCGACGCAGAGAGAGACGTGGCCGTGGAGGCGGTGGGTCAGGGAGACTGCAGCCTCTACAGTGAGGACACCGTCACTGATGAGGAGGGTCGATTCAGACTCCGGGGTCTGCTGGTGAGAGAAGGCTTTGGATCTTAGGGGGGATTGGGATTTATCACATCCCCAAGGGACAAAAACACAAAGTTTTGTTGCTAAATATAATGTGTAGGTGGTATTTAAGTCGGCATAAAATGAGACAATCGATGGCTGTTTCTTACCTCTAAGATTTAAGGCTGTTTTATTTAGTACCATGCATGATTAAATGTTTGTGTTTTGTTATTTTCTTTCAGCCGGGATGCAAATATCTGATACAGCTCCGAGCTGAGGGCAACGACCACATAGAGAGGGCATTACCTCAACACAGAGCTATAGAGGTTGGTCCCAGCATGGGTACATGAACATAATAGAAGACGATTGGTGGATGTATGAGTCATAAACAGAAAACGATAAACCTGAATGCTAATAACACTTCTATTTAACCAAGTGAGTTGAATAAAATATCCGCCTCTATAGAATCCCATTCAGTTGCTATTATGCAATGTTCTAAACTTAATGGGGAGCAAATTTAGTTTTGCATCAAGATAAACAAATAAGTGTGCCTTTCATCCATCATTTATGGAAACAGTTCCTTAGTTTCTAATGGTTAAAGGCAGTGTTTAATGCTTCTATAGATGCTGTCCTGTACTGTGATTAGGAGAAAGCAGAAAGCCTGTGTATAAAAAGGCAAATACTTGATCTTGTTCCTTTGTGTTGGACTCACCTGGTGGTATAGCAGTGGTTAAAGTCAGGCAAAGATAAACAGAGGCTATAAAGCTTTGTAGCAAACGGCGTGCATGATGAGCTGCTGAAGAGACAAAACCCAGGAATTAATGACCAAAGGCTTCAACCAAGCCCACTAAAAAAACCTTTTCAACTGCTCAAAATGCTCTTTGTGCTGCATTTTCCAGTGAATGGTTTTAACAGAAACGTTTGGAACCAGATTTCATTTTTTCATGCTGTTCCTGCATGAATTATAGCACTGATAAGAAGCAAATAAACTCATAAATAATGCATGGTGTTAGGAAATATGTCATTTATAAGCTATAAGCTGAAGGTGTGAAACAGAACCAATTATTTTTCTTTGGTGTTTTACTATTAATTGAATGGTCGGCTTATTTTGGTTTCCTTTTGACACAAACCCTAGTTTTTATTACTCTACTCTTCCATCTAAAGTTCTGAGTTTCCAGAGTTGAGATAACTTATGTAAAGATTTTGTGTAATTTCCTTGTTAAATCTCAGTTATATAAAGAAAGTTAAAGAGTGTGGAAAACTTGGGTAATTGAAATGTTAAAATAACTGTGAGAAACCTGTGATTGTGACTTATATCAGCTTCATCACATGGGCCCTTTTTGTTCGGCGAACAAAAGCAGTGCTAATCCGTCCCCCAACCAAATTCTAACCTCTCATTTTAAAATTTTATCTCTTCTGAATAGCCGCAGTCTGCCTAATCCCTCTCACGAGGCAGGAAATGCCTTAATTCCCCTTTTAATTCTGTTATTATCGCACCACGTGACTTTAACAAAAGGTTTCCCTCATTTGCCTTTTTTTTCTTCTTTTTTTAGCAGGTAGTGGTTTTATTATTACATTAAGCTGTGAGTTTCCTATCAGGTTGGCAGCAGTGACATTGAAGGGGTCAACATCATCGCCTTCAGGCAGATCAATCAGTTCGACCTCAGCGGGAACATCATCACATCTCCTGAACATCTCCCAACACTCTCGGTAGGACCACTAATCCCTCATGTTTGGTCTGTTCTCAGACTGTATGATAATCTCAGGAACATTTTCATTCCAAGGTTTACAAGCATTCATCACCAACATGAGTTTGATTTTGTATCTTTAATATTAGCTTTTTTTCCTTTGTTTTGTGGGGATGGATAAACTTAAGATTATAAAATTTAAGGGATTGTTGTCAACCGGAAATGGTCGGATGAGTTTGTAGCATGTCAGAATTTGACGTGCAGGCCATGCCAGAATGTGTATTGCTGATGGTCTACAATAAAATACACACAGGTTCAAATTTCTAATTATTCCTGATAAAATGTCCTTTAGCAAGCTGTAGATATGCTTGTCATTGCCTTAAGATGCAAAGGAAAGCGTATCTGCATACACTTACTGGATGTTTGACCCTCCCTCTTTTTCTGAAGTGGTTTTATTGGTATATGTTTATTTACTGGATTTAACTCATTTATTTTAGTCCAGCCTTTAAAATGTCAATAGGAATAAGGTTGGTGCTTTAGGAAGATCATTCCAGAAGCTTAATGTTGGCCTGATTCATTCATCCCAAAGCCAGCTTTTTAGTTTGGGATCAGCGGTCCTGTTTTTAGGTCCAGACTGATCAAAGCTTCATTCACCTACTGGTTGATTTGAAGTTGAGGTGATGTTATAGATATTACCGTATTTTCCAGACTATAAGACGCTACTTTTCCCCCATGCTTTGAACCACGCAGTATTTTTATTGAAAAGTCATAGTTGGAAATGAAAGAATAAGGGGCTAATTTTCATTTAGCAGAACTAACTAGCCAGCAGCAGACACAATGTAGAACATATCTCCCAAATTTACACATTTTGACATTTATTTGCTGCATTAAAGCTGCCGAACCAATGCAGATACTGGGCTCAAGTCCTGCAGAGCTGAAATAAAGAGCTGACTAAGCCCCATCTTTCAGTAGAAGCTCTTACTGCTGCAAGCCAACAAGCTAACGGGAGCTAGCATTCTTCTTCGTCCCTACTCTAGGGGCTTTATGTAGAGCTCCTCCTACAGGTTTGGCAGACAGTTCAGTTAAGGAAAGTGGCGTCCTTGTGTTTAAGGTGTAGAGCTTGGAACCCTGAGGTTGTGAGTTTGAAACCCACGGACTGCCACATTGGGTCTCTAAGCAACCCCTGATTGCTCCCCGGCACCCCACGATGGCAGCCCACTGCTCCACAAGGGAATGGGTTAAATGCAGAAGCAAATTTCTCCAGATCAATAAAGTTCAATTATTATTATTATTCAGTGGATATCAGCGGCTTATAGCCTGGTGCGCCTTATATATGTACGTATTGAGTATTTTCTAACGATTTAGTGGGTGCGGCTTATAGTGAGGTGTTCTCTATAGTCCGGGAAATACGGTAAATGTGGTGGTCTCTTAATGCTGCCCAATTCAGCAGCACTGCTGGACGATTAAAAGCCTCACCTTGACCTTTTCCAAATTTCCCTTAGCTGTTTTCTTTTTCTTATCTGATATCTAACCAAATAACTCGTCTCTAGGATGTATGTAGCTGCCCATGCGGTTAGAGGCAGGTTTCAGCCACACTTGAAGATTTTTAGCTCTTCTTTTTGAGTCGGCATCACCTGCATATATGGACTGGATTTGGTTGGCTTTCAGAAATAACATCCACAAACTTTGGTGAAAGTTTGCTTCCCAAGTGTAGAAAACTAACCAGTATAAGAAAGGTCCTTCATCTCTACAGGGAGGACAGAAACAATACAAAGTTGTTCTTTTTTCTATCATGATTGTTTTAACATCAAAGAGTTGAAAGCGCAAAGATAATGATCTTCTTGTTTGCAGGTGAAACTGTACAAGAGCGACAACCTGGACAATCCAATCAACACCGTGTCTTTGGGACAGTCCCTCTTCTTCCACTTTCCCCCTCTGGATAGGGATGGAGAGGTACCGGCTTAGCATCTATGCAAAATATTGCATTAACTAGTAATGATGTGTGTGCTTCATAGGTTTATAATGTGTCTCTCCTTTGGGTTTCTTTAGAGCTATGTTCTCATGCTCTACTCCACCCTGTCCCGCTCCCAGTATGACTTTACGCTACCTCAGGTCTCCTTCACTTCCACTGGTTACCACAAGCACGTCACCCTCACCTTCAACCCTACTGTAAGAAACCGAAAAAACACGGCTTCTTTTTTTCAAAGTCAACTTTATCCTCAACATCTAAAGAGTTTTGTTTAACCCTAACCTTTTCTCTCCTGTTTGTCTTTTTCTCCATTTTTCCTGCAGCGTAAAGTGCCGGACCAGGATGTTGCACAAGGCTCCTACATTGCTCTGCCTCTAACTTTGCTCTTGCTGTTAGCGGCGTACAACCATGAGAAGGTATCTGTCAAATGAAACCGAATCCAGACGTCCAATACTAATGGACTTATTTTTCCTCAGTTTTATATTTCTAAAGCTTGTATTGAATTTAGTTTATTTAGTGATAGCGCAGGAGAGAACGACGTTAACACGTCATTACCACCATTTCGGAAGATGAAAGCTAAACGCCAAGAGCTCATTTCCATTTTGGAAAAAGACAATGAGAACAGAGAAACTGGTATAATGAAATTAAGTATTAATCAAAATGATCAAATATTTAGAAAGACTCCATTCCTGTGGAATCGTCTGGAATTAGATTTCAGTATTTTCCAGGTATAAATATGGAGGAAAAATATATTTCCAGTCTGTCTCCCCGTTGTCTAAATCATGTGTTCTTCCTCCATCGACAAAGATTTACATTTCTTTTCTTTTTTCCTCATTGTTCATTCCTTCCCTTCTTTCTACTTACACTTTCTTCATATTTACCTTCTTCTTGGGGTATTTTTACTTTGCAGGCAAATTCATCCCAAATATATTTCTTTCTGTCCAAGTGGTTCATATCAGACTTTTTCATGGCAGTTAAAAGGCCCAATTGTGATCCTTTAGCCTAAGTAAATAAAATGAACCATAAATAAATACAAATCCCTGTGTTCTCTGTTTTAAATTTTAAATCGTCTGCAGGCTGAGCGTTCATGTTGCATTTCATCCAGGCACTGATTCCTCACACAGACTCCTCTCCAACTCCGCAATCACTGCTCCACAGATACCTTAATATTTCTGCTCTTTATCCTTCCTTTACCTTGTTATGATTTGGCCACAATACTGTCAACAATTTATAACAACACAGAGATAGGAACTCTGACATTACTTCTGTAAACAGTTCTCTGCTGTGTGACTCTACACTGTCTTTCTGCGCATGCGGGTCGCTTTGAAATGTTCCCGAATAGACTCTGATGGTGGTCGCATTTGGGAAGTAGTGTGAACCATGGAAAAAAAAATCCGAAATGAGTGAATGTAGCCTGCTTCCAACCTCTTTCTTCCCTATTCATCTCCCTCCTTTTTCTCTTTCCTACAATCTTCCTTTTTTCTGCTCTTATGTCCTACCTTCCATTTTTCCAGATTCTTCCTTTTTTTCCTCTTTCTTCTTGTTGTCTAACTTCCTTTTTTTTCTTGTGTTTTTTTTTATTTTTTACCTTGCTGTAATCAATCATTTAAAAGCCGCCTGACATCATCACATTGACCATTTTAAATGCGGTAAACTCAGTAATGCAATACCTCCTCGATGATCTAATACTGCTTTTGAGCCAGTGACTTAAATAACCAGTCTGTAGTTTCTTATTTAAGTGTATTATTTCCTGTCAGACTTGTAATTTATAGTCCTTTTGTTCCAGGTGATTCCACTCTTGTTGCAGCTGGTGAATCGTGTCCAGGGTGCGAGGAGCATGGCCCAGACCAGCACAGACAGCGCTGCTCTAGATGAAGCTAAACGTCAGGCTAAAAGACAGAAAGCCAGGCGTACGTGAGGCGGGTCCATCCCTCACATCTATGTCCACTAAACTGAACACTAGCCACAGTGACCTCAAAGAACGAAGAGGACTCGCTTCACCGGCCTCTAGGCCCATGTGTTGGTTTGCTAGTGAACTGTTTAGCTGGCCAAGGTGTGATTTAGATGGGGAAAAAAACCTGAACCCCTTAACATGCTTTAGCAACACCTCGTCAGCCAATCGGATTCACCAGACAAACATAAAGCCGGGGCTTTACATTTGTTTGTTTTCCACCAGTTTTTGTCCAGCATACCTGTTCATATTTTTATACATTTGGAATTAATTATGGTCAACATGTTCATTTTTAAGCTCTTACCTGCCTCTCATGTTTTTATTGTTCAGGTTTAGGACTTTCAGGTGTTACATTTCTATCTGGGCTAAGGTCAGTTTAGATGGTGCGCGGTAGTTTTAATCAGACTGTGGCATGAATTCAATCAGATTGAATTAATTCACCTGTAAATATGACACCAGGTGTTCTGTTGTAAACTGAGCTAAATCTGCTAACAGAGATGCTAAATCCTCTGAGTTACAGTGACACACTCCACCTATGATGGTGTTCTCCTCTGAAGATAACCCTTCACTTCATGTCCATGTCAGGAAAAGCATAAGAAGGCAGTGAAGATCACAATGCTTTTTTTTTTTTTTTAAGAAGCCGGGGTAAGGGGGAAATAGCTGATTAATTTATTAACTTGTTTAATCAGATGTGAATGATGAGTAGTGGTGTTGAGTGCAGCTTTTTGTGTGATTATCTAGTGTTAAAAGTTGAAAAGTCATCCTTTAAACTGTGAGTTGATGTGACTCTACACATCGCCTGTCATTAGTCAAACGATTAAAACTTTTTCTGATTTATGTTTATTTCCTGTCTAGTTTCACTTTAACTCCAGGGTTAATGTTTAGCTGATTGAGGAGACGGGGAGGGAATCTTTCATTACTTCATGATCTTTTTGATTTGTTTTGACAAAATAAAGTTTGACTGAAAAAGGAGATTAACTGGACTGTTTTATTAACTTGCCTGTTGAGGGCAGTGTTATTCTAGCCCCAAAACAATCAGACAGCTCCTAGAGTTAAGCTCCTTATCTTAATTTTTTATTTCTTCTTATGAAGTACAAAATGTGTACTATATTATAACTTTCCACCTTGTTACTCCTCCTTTCTAAGTGTATGTAAAATACCTCAACATGTGCTTGTTAGAGGTTAGCTATGGTATTAAAGCACTGCATCACTAACCTGGGAAGGTGACCTGCTAACAGGTTTATCTTTTATACTCTGCAGTCATAGCTTCGTACCAACATCTGTTTTTTTTTTTACCTGCACAAGCAGCTACATGAGTGATCAAAAGGGAAATGGTCCTGTATCAAAGCAGCTGATAATTTTTTTTTTTAACATCCAAAGATGGCACATCATTTAGCTTCAATTAGGCTCTCACTTTTATTTTTATTTTCTGCACATTCAGTCAAAAGTACTTTATCACTTTGTCTTTGCTGCAGATGGTCTGAATTAAATTGAAGCAGTGCTAATATATTCCTAAATGGTGCCAATATTCTTGTTTTTTTTTTTTTTTTTCCAGGAACAGTGGAAATGATGCGATATATTTTAAGTAAAAGTCAGTACCTCATTCTGACTCAAACAGCAAAATTCAAAGTTCGACATTCAAACAAGATGCTTTCAACTCACTAGTAGGGCTGTAGAGTTTGACTGAAATTAAATTTTTGTATTTTCCCCTAAAAATTCTAATCATGCTCTGCTCTAACCACAAGCATATACATGTTTGGCTTCAGGATTTCATTTATTTACTTATCTTTTAACAACCCTCTTGTCCAGAGTTTGTTTTGGGACTACATTGTTAGGAGGGAAAATTCTGACTTCTAGTATGGAGGGTATTACCGCCACCTGAAGTGCTGGAGCGAAAAGCTAGGTCCCTTACTCATAAAATGTAACATTACCTGCAATTTGGTAATCCTGTTTAAAATGATTATATTCTTAACACAATTAATTACTAAGCCTAGTTATTTATGAAAGCAAAGATTCGTTCTACTAAATGTTTCACCTCTTTCCATTCTGATAAGTGTCCCCTCATCTTGATACTGCCATCACCTCTTAAGGTTAGTTTTGGCATCATTTTATAATTAACTGATGTTTACGTCTATAGTTAAGCCTAAAATTATTAATCCATTTGAAGTGTTTAAAGTCATGTTTTGAAATGCCCAACTTTACATGGCGCTCATAATTGATCATTAAGACAAATACTTAAAATACTAGAAATACCCATATGCAGAAATCTGGTGTATGGGTTGAAGAGATGGTTTTAATAATGTAATGCCAATAATGATTTTGAAAGCAGTTAAAAGAAAATTTGAATTTTTTTTCTTGAGACATTTCTGAGAATAATTTAAACTTTTTTTTTCTTTAAAATCTCCCATGGCTATAAACAATTCCTAACAGTGGCTCTAAGCCCAAGATTTAATTCTGGTTCTCTCCGCTTCTCCGTCATCTTTCAGTACCCAAAAAGTTCTTCAGTACCCTGCCTGAAATAGATATAAACCATCCCTGAAATGAAATAATTTATCTTCAAGCCAGTTCAACTTCAAAATCCCAAACTTTTGTAACTCTTTATCGTCTTCTGTAAGAACTGATATTTTGCCTTCCTCTCCTGTTACACTGACGTGTTTGACACAGTGCTTATGTGGATCCTGCACAGTAAGCTCTACTTGCCTGTACTCTGTGGACCTCCTTCCAAAGATAGCAGGTGTTCTGTCATTCAGTGAACAGCCTGTTTGACAGCAGCCGAGACACCAAACCAAGCTCCTCTGCTGGCATTTTGATTTGATGCAATTGAGATGCACCCAATTAGTGTGAGCCACGCAGCTCGGTGTCTGTCTTGAAATGAAAGCTGGAAACAACTTCAACACATACGGGTGTCAGCAGCATGATCAGATAAGCTTGTTGCTCTCTGGATACAAACCACATCTTGTTTATATATATATAAAAAAAATCTATTTTCATTATTTTATATAAACAATATGATTTTTCTAATTTATATTTTGAGATGGGAGGGTATTATTAGGCACCTATCTGTTTAAAAACTTGTCAGATTTTACTTAAACTAATTCTTTCAGTCATATCTTATTTTGAAATGCTTAACATGTCCTTTCAAAATGTCTGTGAGGTACTTCCAAGCCAATGTCATATAATAAAGGAGTAAAAACATCTATGCTGTACTTTCAAAGAGGAAATTTCTTACCCATCTTCCCATATGGTCTTTATTATCTTATTTTGTATCACTATATAAAGTGATATATGACTGTGTAATTCAAATCTATACCCGATGATGTATAGGCAAAAGAAAAAACATCCCAACAGAGAAGAAAGGAGGCAGCAAGGGATCAAACCCGGATGTTCGATGCAAGGAAAAGATGGAGGGAGGAAGGATTTAATATTCAAAGTGTATGATTACAAGATGACAGTGGTGAGGGTGATGTGTAACACTATCAACTCCATGCTCTCTGTGGCAGCTAAGGTCAGTGTGTGTGAACCGACTCTAAAGTGAGGTTTATATCAATACAAGAGGTGGGTCATATTCCCATTTTCTGAAATCCAATGCTTGCTTACAGCTACAAGCACAGACACTTTGGAGGGGAGGAGCTTAAGCAAAGAAAAGGCACCTATTGTAATTTTTTGCGCTAAACTAAAAAAAAACTAATCAACTCATTAAATACAGTAAATCAAGTTATCAAACTGAATAAATAAAAGGCGAAAACTGACAAAACACAGCTATATTCTGTATGTTTTAATGAACACACAATATATTGAATAATCATCAAAAATATTTTGACTTAAAAATGATCAATAACTCTGCTCAAAATAAATTAAAATTAGAATATAAAGCCTAAACATAAAGCTTCGGCATCTGACTAAAAAAAGTCCACAAATATTATACTGAAGACAGGAACACTGGAAAGATGAGCCATGCCTTGCCTGATGTCTTGATAGGCTGATCAAACAAGAGAGCAGAGCAAACACCAGAGGCTGCAAACACACACTGTGCCTTTATTATAAATTGGCAACAACAATTTAAATTTGGTAATGATCCAGATCATGTGCGAGTTTTATCTATAGGTATAAGTCACAATATAGGGGGAAATAAAATAGGATAGGCCTATAAAATAGTAGCAAGTTCTGCTTAATGAACTATTAGTGAAGTGGTTTCACCAGTGATTTTTCAGTCATAGGATGAGGCATGACTAAAACAGATCAGTGTGGTGTCCATAGTCGTACAGCCCATTTGAAAGAGTTCTTTTAAGATTATTGATGAGAATGGTAGATCATTAATAAGTCTATTATTTACTATTTTATCCTGATGAAGGTGCAGGTTTCTTATCAAAGCTGTTTCTTCTAATGAATCTGCCAAGCGCTAAGAAGTTAGGCAGATGAACAGATCGGCTGTTAGGTTTGATCCAAATAATGAAAATCGGTCCGCACTCTTTAGCAAAAGCAGAAGGGCATCAGTAAATGCCATGATAAGTGCTGTCTGAATAGCGCTAGTAGTAAGGAAGGATTATGGTAAAAGAGTCTGTATGCTTCCTATCATGCAGTTGGAAGAAAGCCATTTCTTAAATATATCCATAAAAAGTATAATTTAAAGTTTGCCATAAGCCACCTGGGAGACACAGCAAACATGTGGAAGATGGTGCCCTTATTAGATGAAACTAAAATCAAACCTTTTTGCAAAAATGCAAAGTTTTATGTTTGGCTGAAAAGTAACACGGCTCATCACCTTGAAGACACCATTCCCACTGTCAAACATGATGGTGGCAGCATCATGGTTTGGGACAGGGAAGATGGATGGAGCCAAATGCAGAACCATTCTAGTAGAAAACCTGTTGGAGTTTGCAAAAGATCTGAGAATGGGACGGAGATTTATCTTCCAATAACATAAAGATCCAAAACATAGAGCAACATCTAAAATGGAATAGCTCACAAAAAAAAAAAACATTCAGGCGTTGGAATGGCCAAGTCAAAGTCCAGACCTTAATCTAATTCCGAATCTGTGGAAAGACCTGAAAACTGCTATTCACACCTTCCATCCAACCTCAAAAAAAAAGAAAGATGGTCAAAAATTTCAGTTTCTCGACGTGCAAAACTGATAGAGACATACCCCAATGACTTGCAGCTGTGCTCGCAGCAAAAGGTGGCGCTACAAAGTATTAAGTCGTAAAGGCTGAATAGTTTTAATCACCCAATTTTTCTGTTTTTTTATTTGTTCAAAAAGTTTAAAATGTCCAATAAATCTTGTTCCACTTCATGATTGTGTGCCACTTGTTAATTCTTCACAAATATTTTTTTTTATAACTTTATGTTTGAAGCATGAAATGTGGCAAAAAGTCGAAAAAGTTCAAGGGGACCGAATACTTTTGCAAGGCACTGTATTCACATGCCCTCAGATAATGGACTGTCTGTAGTTGTCTTGTCAGTTCTAAATGCTCTGTTTATCACAGCTGAGGTCAATTTACTTTACAAGTTTGAAATCTCCCAGTCCAGTGCTGAGAAAAAGACTGAGTTAATTTCTTAATTTGACCCAGTACATTCTTATTGTTTTTGTCTTTTGAGGTATTAGGGGCTTGTTACTGTACGAGAGAGGGGAGAGACATGCTACAGACCACAGACCGCATTCAAACTCAGGTTGGCCATGTTGAGGACTAAGGATTCCATACATGGGTCGTGCAAACTAACCATGTTATGTCATTAATAATAATTGAACTTTATTGATTTCACATTGGAGAAATGTATCTCTAAATTTGACCCATCCCAAAGGGGATGTGGGCTGCCATTGTGCGGCGCCTGGGGAGCTGTGTGGGGTTAAGGGTCTTGGTCGGAGACCCAGACTGGCAGTTTGTAGGAATGGGCCTCAAACTCAAAACCTCAGGATTCCAAGTACTATGCCCAAACCACTAGGCCACCACTTGTAAACATTTTTGACAGAAACAGGATCAATTAAAAACTGCATTGCTAACAGTGTTTTCTTTTTTTTAATTAACTGAGTGATCTCTCTAATTCAATTTCACCTTTTGGTCGTGCTGTTAC